ATCAGATCCCCTCTAACTCTCCTTTTTTCAAGAGAAAACAAACTAGTAATAACTAGCTTGATATGGTTTTAATGAGGATTTAGGCTTAAATTATCATCATTTGAATTAATTTTAAATACTATGAGAATTTGCAAATGCAAAGAGTTATTTCTGATTTGTCTTTTACAATGTCTATATCGTGTGTGTTTTGAAAGTGTCGTTGCAGTCCGTATCTTATTGAAATCATTGACGTTTTGGTATACATTTCGCCATTTGTCTGTAAATAAAAAAATAACAAAAACTATAAGGTCTACTGAATATGCTCTGTCGACTTTTAATTCATACATGATTAAACATTCGTTAATTTGGTAATCAAACATTTTTTAAGTGGCTCAATATATATTATATGCAATTTTAACTTGTAGGCCTATATATATATATATATATATATGTATATATGTGTGTGTGTCACTACTGGTAACAATATGGTTATGAAGAGCATAAGCCCATTTTGTAGTTGATTATAATATTTATTAGATAAATAATTAAGTTAATCGAGAACTGGACCACACCAGTTAAATTAATAAATCATTTTTAATCTGATTGGAAAACGATTCTATCTTTGCAATAAAGTAAGAAATACACACCTGTCTAACTTCTATATAAAATTTGCCTAGAATACTGGCGAGATTTTCGACGTTGTCATCCATAATCACTCTTTGGGCAGTGCAGTATTCCTCAAATACTTTTACAGCTCCTCTGATTATGCTTTTAGTACTCTTACTGTCCTTTTCTGCAACAAACCCCTGCAGCTTTTCATCTGTGAGTGACTGAAATTTTACGTCATAAGGTACATCCATGTCCATTTAATTAACGGGTTTGAGCAAATTGTTTCTAATTAGGCCTAAAATAATCAGCGTGTTTTCGCTGTACTGCAAACAAAAAATTGTCGTCTGCAAAGTTATGTTACTGAGACAAACTGCACATGCGCGACACACGCACGCATGGCAACGGCCTTGACAACCAGGCAACAGTAATACGATCTATTGACAAGCTTTTCAAGGCAACAGTTCAAATGTTTCATACCACGTGATGTGCTCTCGGTCAATCACGGCGAAGAATTCATGCTAGGTAAAAATAAAAACCTAATGTCCATAAAATGTGATAATAGTGTTTAAAAATCTATAGAAGTGCTCAAAAGTTTACATTATAAGCGGCAGGACCCAGGTTCTTAAAATCATGAGCGCTACGTTAAGGTATGAAACGGGCCGGTTACCTCAAAATGCGCAAGAAACAGCAAGAAAGCAACTCTTACAGTCCCACTACTCTTTACGCTGCTAACATAACAAATAACAATGCCCTTGTACTTTTTGTTTCTTAATATTGTAAGTTATCTAACTTAATACACACTAGTTAAATTTCTTGGCTCTGTGTTATTTATTCATTCATTAATGACTCATCGGTTTTACTTTAAAATCTACAATTATTTCAATGGTCTCTAAGCATTTGTTAAATATTTTACTTCTCAACAAGAAAACTCAACTTAATCAAGTGATTAACTTGTAAATAATTTATTATAAAGGACAGGTGTACTCGTAGCAGTGTCACCCGTCTTAATATACAGAACGTGATACATGACGTAAATAAAAGATTTAAGCCTTCATTATTTTATAAGTGAAATGACAGTAAATCAAATGAGATATATTTAGCTTTGTTATATATTTGTGTTATTAGTAAATTTCCCAAAATTATTATTTAAGAACGTTGTATGTTTATATTATGTACTGTCTACGAGGATCAGTTTGGCACTTCATTCAAGTACCGAGCTACCCTCGAAAACAGTAGGTAACATAAACATACAACATTCGTAAATAATAACACTAGGGAGAGGGGTAGCTCGGTAATTGAATGAAGTTACGATGAGTATATTTTTTATGACTACACTTGTCCTTTTAATGTCTTAATTTTACACACTAAACTGTGTAAAATAGCTAGTGAAATATAAAAGCTTCGCTTCACAAGATTCCCTGCGATTTAATCTTCATCTTTCATTCTAAGTTCCTTAAATGAAAGTGAAAAAAATGGAGTTTCTGTCTATCTATCTATATATATATAACATCGTAGATATTGTAAATAAGTATAATTAACATAATATTTTTAATGTTCTTCTGATCACCATTATAGAGTTATATTTAATATAACTAAAACACTACCATGGTCTTTTTACTTGACTTTATGACGTACAAAAAGTTCTATGGCAGCGAAAGTGTATTCATCATGTGTTCTTTGTGTCCATGAAGTTGTTATTCAATATGCGTACGAGTAAATTTTACATAAAACTCTGAAGTGTTTTCTCAGTGAGAGAAGAGTAAGGCTGCCTGATTGGATTAGTAAAACGTGTTTCTACATTTCTGGTGTATTGTGACTTGATATGGGTGTAGTTTTTATGCTATAAATCAGGGTCCAATTTGAGATTAAAAGTTGTTTAACTTAATGCTGTATGTACTAGTACTATTCATACAGTTAATAAATTAAACAAAAATACATTATACAAATATTTTAATTAGCAGTTCAACGTTTACTACACCCGTCTTAGAAACGTATACACTTTTATGACCACAAAATTACACACAATGAAATTAATTCATGCATAAAATAATCTAAAATGAGTAATATAATTACCCATTTATCGCTCATTTGCGCTATTAACCGTTAACGGTCGCACCCAGTTAAGACCGTTTAATGACAGTTTAAACTCCCGCCCCCCGAAATGGACCACCAGCCCACCAGGAATTTTCCTAGTGTCCTTACCGCCTTGGTAAACATTGTACACGTAGATCTGCAGTATGTCTCAATATTAGCTTGAAAGCAAAAAAGTTGTATAAAATCTCAAAAAAGAAAATGACACTAAAAAATCCTGTTACAGATTCATATTAAACACAAATAAAATATTTTATATCTTTCAATTACTACTTCCTCGATATCCAAAAGGATTAACGTAGTTAGTTTCTGCCTTAAAGATGAGCGATTATCATGGGTAATTTGCCTTCAAGCCAACAACTAAATTTAACTTTAAAACTAATAATCTTTAAACTTGCAACATGGTCAAGGAGCACATTAACTTTACTCATTTCTTGAGAACCGGTAAACGTTTTGTGAGCGACACAAACCCTTTAACACAGAACTACAAAAGCATAAAAACCATTTAAGAAAGATTTAAAATAAGATAATACCAAAAATTCAATCACGGAATATGTCTTCAAAACACAACCTTTGTGAATTCAGAATATAATATTAAAAAAAAATATATTTCATTTATCCTTTAAAATAAAAATAATAGTGTTGCGTCAGCGAGGTCACGTGACTAGTATCACGCCACTTCTTTCTCGAAGCTTCGGGAGATTACTAGATTGGAGGTAGTCTGGTGTATATAAG